ATTTTTTTTTAAATAAATAACATCAGCATCCACATCAGCATATGCTGATGTTAAAGTAATAAATCAGCATTCACATCCGCATCCGCTGATGTGTAAAAATCCTGCGTCAGCAACAACCCTGGTATGGATACGCTTACTTGGTAAGGATTGGCTTACGGAGAACATTTGCGAGCCGTTTTCTCCACCACTTGACTACAACCTTGACTAACAAAGGTTCAACCCGCACGACGTACCTACCATTCTTTTCTTGTACGTCTGGCGTACTCAGGGCAATAATCAGCGAGTGTCCTACGTCGATTGGCAAATCCTTGTACCACGATGGCGAGCATTATAGTGTACGCCATCGATCGGTAAGAGAGAGAGAGAGAGGTAAAGGATCGCACCCTATGCAGGTGAAATTTTAAAATCATTTTAAAGGTACGGAGCTAATTAGGGGTGCATCATCTTTTTAATATATGCTGGAAGAATGACATAATACCTACAAGTACGTGGATGGAAACGTGAGGAGAAGTAGACCTCGCCATTCTCTTCAGATTGTAACGTACCAAAAAACGAATAATAAACGCAAATATATAAAGACTAATGCGAGTGTAGAAAACAAAAAACGTTATCAGTGGAGGACAAGCGTAATGCGTATATTGTCCCTTAACGAAAAAAATGTCCTTATATATAATTATAATGATGTTTTGCCACCTTTTGGGTATTTAATTTTAGAATTACTTTTCATAAAAAATACTGTCGTTACTTAGAAAATACCGCTCTAAGTGTCGTTTGATAGTCTCTTGGTTATCAAAACCGTGTCCTTTCAAAGCATTAAATAAAAATGAAACAAATGAAAATCTGAAGTGACTCAGACGAGTACCCACGGTGGGGTGAGGTAACCACGAGGTAACACACTTTAACCAAACTGCAATAGCTATTGACGATTTTGTAAACATGTGTGTGGTTTGGCATTATCATAATGAGCTACGACACCTTTACCACACATTTACGATCTACCAGTTCTGGGCGATTTTTATCTTCATTCTTCGTGTGCCAATTGATAATATGTTAATTTACAAAAGAAGATTATCGAATTTCATACTTCTTGTTTTTAGAAGTGGCACATTCTACCACTAGGTTATCATTCTTACCCGCTTAGATAAAGTAACTTAAATCACTAAAATTAATTGGTTCTTTTGAAATATTCACAGCATACAATAGCTTAAATGGGACTAACGAATTATGACACGCCTTTGAAATAGAAAAGAACCTGTAGCAACACGCATTATCAATGTGTATGTTAGGCCAAGCCTATCGTCACGTATTGCCATGCGCAACGCGTGCGCGTGCGCTGCCGCCGGGTGGCAACAAGCTGTCTACTCGCGGCCAATTATCTGCGCCGCTATAATAGATACCTCAAACTGATATTATTTATGTGGGTGCTGGCCGTATGACCAGTTTACTGTGAGCCGTAGAGTGTACAGACAGAAATGTATAAATGGCTAAGTTGATAAGCCAATAAGTGTACTCATAAAAAAAAGATCATCGTTCTAGACTGATCGTAAGAGGACAATAACGTTGCACAAAGGACATCATCGAGATGAAATTTGCCAGTTCGAGTTCGTTCATTAAATGGAAGGGTTCGATGATAATATGTTGATGAGCTCATGGTGTTCTTCGACGTAACAGATCTATACCTCCAACACGTCATCTTAATTTTTTGGTCATTTTCTGTTTTTAATAGTTGCTTGCTACTATACTTAATCACCAACTAGGTACCACAGGATGTGTGGCAATTGTATTTAGTGAAGTCAGAGTTCAATGAAATTCGGTAAAGTTGCTTTAGAAATAAATATTAGAATAGATAATGCGTCAGTGCACAAATGAGGAAGCAAATTTTGTAAGGCGTACAAAAATATACATATAAATATAGTAGGTAGTTTTTAAAATTTTTACCTATTTAAAGTTACTATACCTAAGTAAGTACAATTTCGTACTTCTCTTTAAAATAAATAGAAAGTTTTGTCATCTCCTAAATAATCACTCTTTATGAGATGCGAGTTTGAGAAAGAAAGACATCGATTTCGTTGAGTACCTACGTGAAATTTAAAACTACATTAAAATAATAATAAATGTGTATAAAAACCAGTTAAAAAAAAGTGCAAAGCTATGTGATATCGCCTCAAGTTAATTTTAAAATTTTAGAAATTACTTAATCTGTTGAATCTTAATTAACATTTGTTAATCTGAAGGAATACGTTAAACTTATATTCTGTTTAGCTTATTACCTGATTTAAATCGTATCGTATATTTGTTTTTTTTTTCAAACAAACAAACTAACGTTTCGGGCCCGTTACAGATCCCAAAGTCACGGCTGACTGACCACGGACCTGTAAAAGCTCCGAGGTCTAACGCCAAAACAATGTTTCACACAGTTTACGAGTCCTATGGTCACGCAATAGTTTCATTTCCTAAGAATAATTTAGTTAGAGCGACGAATTCCGAGATGATGGATCGGAGACCTCTTGACACACTCGTAAAATGTGATCCCACTTACGTTGAAATCAGTTAAAGTAGTTCAGGCTCTAGGAGAAAAGAAATATACGCTACGAGAATCATATTCTTCTTTTGGGCTTGGACCATTAAAACAGACGGAGCCACGTTGAAGAGACATCACATATGGCTTAATGTAATGACTTTTTTTTCTCAAAACCACGGAAGAAGAAAAAACAACTGTATTTATTGTTCTGTGACGTAACTATAATGGTTTTGACCACAGAACAATAGTCAAACAAGACCACGTGAATACTCATGATGAGCCATGTTTTTAGGAAATGAAATTATTTCCAGAATTATAATCCAGGAATATAGTTTCATTTCCTATGTGTAACAATCGCGAAAACCTAAAAACTTGATAAGTCATGTTCTTTTTCCTTGCCGAAAGGCAAAGGTCTATGGACCGTGCCTGCCTAAGCCAAATCCTATAAATAGGTATACTTTTCTTGAACCGGTAGCTATAAAATTTTTCGTCGTTCGAAACAGGTTAGCCTGTCTTAACCTAATTCTAATTCATACTGCCAGATCCAATTAATTAAATTTTTTTTCATTAATTTATTTTAAACGCGGAATAATTGTGTTTGTTGTAGAGTGAGTATGTCATTTTTAAGTAGCAACGCAAGGCCGAGTATTTTCTTCAAGTCAGACTTCTCCAAGAGTAGAAGTAAATAAAATCATAAATGAGAATGCATTTTCTGGGCAATCTAGGATGTCCTGTAATGAAAGTGTGATAGTGTGATGTTTTTTTCAAGAGCCGGTCTATTAGTAGCAACAACAATATGCCAATCAATGACATCATTATCATTATCCACGTCCTGACTTTCACTGCGGGGTATAGACCTTACCTACATAGTTTGTGCCATCCATCATGATCTTGCGTTAGGCTCATCCGTCTAGAACATATTTTTCCAAAGTGGTCCCCGCCCCCCAGTGGGTGCTGAAGAGTCCTGGGGGTGCGATAGGGTCCTCGGAAGGAATTGGGAGGCTTTGATGCTGTTTTTTTTTCAACTTTTTTTTATATTTTTTGATTGTTTTTTGACGTGTTTTTAATTATGTTTTGTGGTTGCGTGAAATTTTTTTGTCTTGCCTAAGGTTTGCCAAAAAGTTTGGGAACCTATGGTCTAGACAATCAGGTCTTAAACTAAACTCCGGGAGCTAGTGCTGGGGGTAGTTAACGAATTAACTACCCCCAGCACCAGACCAGAACCATTTTAAAATACAAAAGTTCATTCAATAAAATTACTCCACCGGAAATCAAGGACTTCTCTAGTGTTAGCTAGTTGATTAATGGGCTCGACAAGCATGAGCAGCGACTAGAGTTAAGTCGTGAGACGACTCGACGAGAATGGATGAATCTGGCGGCCTATATGTCTATGTATACAAATATTGCCTTTAACAACTTACCGTAGTACTTACTCTGTGAGAGAGTAATACAAAATACAGTTTTAGTTATTCAGGAGGAGATTCAGTTATGACGTTTTACGACGCTTGACAAAAAATTATTTTTGCCAATTTATCCTGGGTCAGAGGAACCTCACTACACATGTGCCTATGTGTGTATATCCGAAATTTCTATGCGACAAAACCAATACGAAATATATCTTAGAAGCAATCCTGATGAAGACGTGGGGTAAACAATGTTTTTAAATCCCTAGTAATCTCTCAAAGCCATTTTAAACTGGTTAGTATTCATTAGAATTATGCGTTTCACCATTTTTAAACTCATCTAACTAACGAAACAATTTATTTCTCAGTAACATAATAGTAAACCCATATTGTTCCGATATAATATTTCTGGGAAAGTAAGCATTGTTTACAATATCATAAAAAAATTAAATAAAATCCCTTCAACTTTTAAACCATATTATTATCTATATTTAAGAATCAAGTCGAAAATTCTTAGTTTAAAACAATGTCGTCAATCACTTTTAAAAGCAATTTAAATTATTAGCAGTTTAAATAATGAAGTTTATAACACCTTCACCTTATTTTCAATTTAAATATTGGCGCCATTGAAAATGTGGCTGTTCGTATTTGTTGCCCGTGTAAAAATAAAAAATTAAACAAGTCGGGACTCTCGATTACAGCGCCATCTACTATGAAATCAAATAGGATTCTATGCAAGTAATAAAGCATTAATAAAGCAATATTTTGTAAATGCGGTAACTTTAGCAATATTTCAGTTTGTCTTTATTGTAAATAGCGATAACCTATAGTTCTACGTTTAATAACTTAGTTTCTGGTTAAGAATCTCGGTAAACGTCAACACTTATACGCCACCTTGCGAGAAAAATTATAACTAAACGAACGAACAAAGAGAGCTAGCTAGCCATCTAGAAACTAAGATTTCGTTTTCTCTGTCCCTCGCGTGCGAGCAGCTCGTGCGCGAATGGGAAGCAAACTACACTTTCGGCCATCGTAACCATCTTTTCTTTCTTGTGCAACTGTTTCTCTTCGGCCGTGTTCTAGTGCAAACGCAGGATGGACGCCATTCGCGCGAGATAAGTTTTCTCTTGCTTAGAAGCGAGAGCGGCAAGTGCATAAGCGTGGTGCGCCGTGGAGCTATGCTATAGTGTCGCGTCGGTGGTGCTCGGTGTGGCGGCTGTGTATCGTTGTCGCGCGTGGACGTGCGGTGCGGGCTGGCTAGCGGTGGCTGGCACCTGGAGCAGCGCTGGTCGGAGCAGCAGACGGGACGGTAGGCATGGCGGGTGCGAGCTGAGCGGGCGCGCGGCAGCTGCACGCTCGCGCTCCGCCGCCGGCCCGATGCGCGGGGCAGGCCGTGCTCGGCGGAGGTTATTTTATGGGTATTTGCGTGAGCTGCCGGCGCCGCGACCGAAAGGCTCCCGAGAAGCGAGAGACAGGCGCGGGGGGTGCGGCTGGAGGCCGAGGGCCCGCTAAGGGCGCCGCGGCAGAGCTGCTCCCGCGCCGCGCGGACCCAGTCATGGCCAACTCCATATCCAACATCAAGATGACCAACCCTATCAAGGGTATCGTCAGCAAGCGCCGGAAACGTTATATCAAGGACGGGTTCAACCTGGACTTAACCTGTATCCTTTTCGTGCAGTGAATCTGTGTTAGCTTGATTATCCTGGCGTAAGATCGATGTCGGACAATGGGTGAGTCTTTTTGTCTATCAGTAGGGTCGGCCTTGGCGCTGAGTGTGTTTGTACAGGGATATCGCAGTCAATATTGGCCGGAGACCGCGCTCGCGGGCCCGATAACCCACCTAGACCATCCTTTTAGTGTATTCAAGGGCACTCGGTTTATAACCTATAAATTAGTTCATTCTACACTTTCCCGATGGCATAGGCGACGATAATCGTTTAATTTCGTGGTTACAGGTGAGCCTGGTGTCAAAATGTGCGATTTGTATGATAATTCAGTCATAAATGTATAAACCAATCATCTGACAAGTTGTATTAGGGTTCCAAGGTCTTTGTAGAGACAGCACTCAGTTGGTCCTTATTATGTCAAAAGTTGTCTGTAAGGCCTTGAAAAATGGCTACTAGTGTGTACACTTTATGTAGTAAAGGCTGGGTAAATAGCATGGAAGGCTGTTAGTATGTTGAAATTAGTGTTTATATCTACAAAGTTAGTGAAAAACTGGCATAGCAACAAGACATAACCTACAGCTATGTACACATAGCTTACAGTACATAGCTAGGTATACAGACCTGTCTGATAATCATGTTATGGATACAGATAGGTAAAAAGTGTTATTGTGGTGTGAAACTGAGTGCTCTACTGTACAATGCCGTGTTTTCTTGTGTTTCAAACTGTATCCTCCGCTTTTATTAGTAATTTTTTTTAGTAATATACTGTTTAATTTTGAAGCAACTGCTTATTATGTAATTTACACAATTTAACAAATGTTATATTTTTCATGAAAAAGTATGTTTAGTAGGTATGTAGTTTTTTGGTAATGGAATTTAGTGTATTTTTTTTAATAGTAAATATTTAGAAGAATTTATTTACTGGCTACGGTCATGCTGTTCATGATAAAGAATTTGATATTCTAAAAATTAAATTAAATTTTTTAAGTACATACTGATTCTAACAAATTATATACAATAGTTATACATAATGACTATCTCTAAAGGCAAAATCATTCCTAGAGCAATAAAAGAGTAAAATGTGTTTCACTGAATTTCATGGTAAATATTTATTACAACTCAGCGATCAAACAACATAATATTTATATTGAATATTAGATGAAACATACCACGTTAACTTTCACATAATTTACTGGAACGTACATAGGGTTCACCATATTATGCGTCAATAATAAAAAAACATGGCATTAAATTACTGTACCATGCTGTTGCATGGGTATTGGATCATGGCGCTTAAGTCCTAGATTTTCTGTGCTTGTGGTTTGTGTTTAGTAGGTTTTCGTTCAGAACTCGAGTACTTTTAGAGAGGTTAAAATGCTCTTACTGTCAAAAATGAAGCGACATTTCTGTACTTTGTGCAAGGAAGTGAATTGAAAAGTGTGTTCTACATAGATTATTCTTTACCAGGCTTTAATATCGGAACATGGAGTTCAATCACCTTAGTTAGAAATAGGTTTTATATCAAATACTTCCTATCGGTTCATTGCAGTTATTATTATTTACTATCATTAGTACGGAGTCTTTTAATTTAATGCTCATAGGAATTTTATACGTATTCTCATGTTCATTGTTCTATTAACATATTTGTTATATTATTGCAACATTTTAATAAAATTAAAAAATATTAAATATCAGCACAGTCTAAAATCATTAACGGATAATTAATTAACAATATTCCAGTTCAACATGCAACGAAATGTGTTCAAGTTAAGCAAAACCAAGGTTAGATGTGTAATTATGGACAATTATGAACAAATTATAAATAAACATTTCGTACTTGGGTGAAACTTATAACTGGGCACAATGCATCTTTAAACAATTGACATTTACCAGTAATTTTATGGGAAAATCAACGTCAAAATCAAATGATCATTTATTCCACAGATTAAATTTGTATACTTGAAAACGCCATTATATGTTCTAAAATCCAATGTTTTTTATATTAGGGTCATTCCAGCGAAAATGACACTGCGGTTCAAAAAAATAAATTACACAATTTGGTTTTAATTATATGATTAGAATACGTCCAATAAATCAAATCATTAGAAATAAATGAGATTTTTCGGATATTGTACAATTATTGTATTTTTGTCTTCATTAACGCTTTCACTTCGTTCATTAGTGCTGTCATCTATAGTGAAGCATCTTTTCCTATAATGTTAGCAACAATTTTCGCAGTTATTTGTAAAAAAGTTATTACTGTCGAAGAAAATACAATTTACGAATTTTAAAACAGTGATAAGTGATTTCATGGAAGTATAAATGGTGAGGAGTTATTAAAGATTCAATAAATGCTACCACACGCAAAATAGGCGCCTTGACGTCGAGTTGCGGACACTAGCCCGTTACACCAAGCACCAAGTTCAATAAATACTAATTTCAAGTCCCACCCATCACAATGACACATATATTTTTATTTTAATAAAAAAATATGCAATCTATTGGCATTTGCTTTTGTAAAAGTAACAATTATGCTAAGGGTCATTATTTTGGCTTGGTTGGGCATTGTGCACGTAAATAGGAATGTGAATATTAAGATTTGAAAGTGTGTCCCACCCGTCACAGCCATGGGTGGGACACACTTCTAAACGTTTTTGCTTTTAATAAATGTTTGTAATTTCATGTATTCGAGTTTTACTTACGATGTTTACTAGGTGTAACAGTTGCTTTCATTTCGGGGTTTAACATTTGGTGTGTTAAATTGTGACGATTGGGACACCATTTTGTGACAGGTGGGACAAGTTACATTTGAATACATAGAATTCTAAAAAGTACACTGTTTGTATGTAGATCCATCATTTGTAAGCAAACTTTTTATAATTCTTCTCATAATTAAGACATTTTAACACATAAAAAAAGACAATTAAAAAGTGACATCATTTTTCCTGATGATTTTTAGTATCAGGAAATTTACGAAAAATCTGTATCCACTAGTTTTAACTATATGTATTTACGAGCAAAACTTCTAAAATTTGATATATTTTGATATGACACATAATCTTTAAGAATGCGGCAGGATTTTTCAAATTTATTAATGCATTTTACTTGCGTGACTTTGATTTCATGTCGTCATAGATAGTGTTTCAAGAAAAATAGTATATAATAGTAATAATAGTTCTTTAATTCTGTTTTTTTTTTAAGATTAAATGTCTTAATAAGACAAAAAATTATAATAATTTGCTTACTATCGAAGGAACTCCTATTTAACAGTGTAATTTTATTAAGTCTGTGCATTCAATTGTAACTCTTCCCACCTGTCACAATTTAACATATTCATTTCCTTAAAATTTATCAAAGTTATTAACTAAGTGTATATATAAAATAGATCAGTAACCTTTTTGTATGTCCCATTGTTGGGTACTAGTCTCCTTTATGTTTTCTTATTTCTGCCGCCAAGCAGTAATGTGAGCTTGATCGCGTTTCGGTTTTGAAGGATAAGAGTGCTGGTGAAATTACAGGCACATGGGACTTGTCAACTTATGTCTCAAGGTGATGGTGGCAATGGCAGTGCCCCTCAGGTCTGCGATTTAAAGCTCTGAGCAGCACTGCAACTGTTACGGCGTGTCGGTTACCATCCAGGTACCATCCAGGACTTGTTTGTACTGTTATTTGGTTTCACAAAAATAAAATTAGGGTTTAGAACAAATTTAAGCCACACTGGCCCAATACAGGTTAGGGACTTCTCACATTTTCTAAGTGTTGTGTATCTTCTTTGATATACAGATTTTCAACACGATTTTTTCTTTTACGGTTAACGGGAGGTAACTTAGTTGTTAAGAGGGAGCATGCCAAAAAAGTTTTGCCGCCCAAATTTGTGAAACAAATATATGCCTGAAGTTCGCGTGACATGCGACAGCGTGAGATGTTGAATTTTGCGCATTAAAATACCAAATTCGTTTTAGCGGAATAACTCTAACACTAAAGGGATTTAAAAAAATCCGTAGTGACAGTTCTCGATCATGCATAAATATAATTAATTATCTGATTTTTGTCCTAATAACCTGTAGCATTTCGAGAATGAATCGAAAAAATGTGAAAATTAGAGGTCATTTCGTGATTTTTATCTATCGAGGAAACTTTATTGTTTTATGTTTCTGATTAGTGTTTATGCTTGAATATATCGTGTAGTTACTCATACAATATTTTATTTTTAACTTTAAAGTGAATATACCCCTCTAAAATCAAATCGTAGATTAGGAATTTTTCGTCTGCTCCCTCTTAAAGGTATAGGGTAAATGCTGCCGCAGAGATTCGAACCATCAACTTCTCAACTTAGTAGCAAAAATTTCCCCACTTGACTACCATAGCTCCGCAATTTATGCCAAGTCAAATTTGACTAAAATGCAAAAAACAGTACTGATGATAGTTAATATTTGATGGGTTTAATAGCGATCTAGTAAAGCTGCCGTCCAATATACATTTAGCAATGCTATTGTAAATTTTTCAGATGATCCCTATTGTCCCTATTAATTATTCTGTTGATTTTCTACCATATTGACACAGAAATTAATGCTCGTATTCCAGAACTCTACTCAATGCTCAAGTCAGGATTTGAGCAGATTTCAAGCACTGGAAATACGACCCTAATGGCAAGGCCTTGACTATGATTTTCAGTGCTCACTGCAATACTCAAGTCCTGAATTGAGTATTGAGTAGAGTTCTGGAATACGATCCTAAGGGTCGTATTCTAGAACTCTACTTAATGCTAAGTCAGGATTTGAGTATGTTTTAAAGCACTCGAAATCATACTCAAGTCCCTGCCATTAGGGTCGTATTTCCAGTGCTTGTGTTGCCAGTGCAATCCTGACTTGAGCATTGAATAGAGTTTTAGAATACGACCCCTAGACTTGCTTAAATATGAGATTTAATTGTATATGCAATATAATTGGGCATAAGTTATTATGTTAATTTTATTGTAATTTAAAGTTGTAAAT